TTGGGGGGGGGGGTGGAGGGGGTGGAGTATGATTTAAAAAAGAAGCCACACTGTAATCAATGAGAGCAAGATTGGCACATGTCCTAGAACATTTGCATTCAGAAATAAAAGCTGTGATAGACCTTTGTGCGCTAAGAAAATGAAGCTTGCTGGCTTTAGCCAGCCTGGCAAAGGGAAGGGTAGAGCTGAGAGGGCAGAGGAATGAACCGAAAAATTAATAACGATCTCACCTCCCTAATAACCTGCCAGCAAATGCCGCTAAAAGGAGTCTAAACCTGGACAGGATAGATGCGTCTCCCAGGTTCAAAAGAAACAAATCCACTGTCGCAAATAGGCACTTTTAAGTTTCTGCAACTTCATCATTCCCCTACTTGGTGATTGCTCCAGTCACTCACTCTATTGTCGTGGCAAAGCAAGGCTCAATGTTACAGCATGTCAATGAGAAGCATCAGAGGGATGGGGGAGAGTCTTACCCTGGGAAACAAGCCTCTGGGACCAGCCACAGAGTGAGGATGCCAAGGTGTTCACCTTGCAGCGCTGCAGCCTCCTGGAAAAGCACAGACAGAAGAAACCGAGTGAGCTCCACGGGATTTCTGGGGCTTGCAAGTGCATGCAGGCCTGGGAGAGCAGGAAGGCGGTCCTTACCTAGCAACGGGCTCCAGCTTCTCCTCCACATGCTTCCCCTGCCACAACCACCCTGGCCTGCCAGCTCCCGGCAACAACAATAGGAGGCTACGAGGGGTGGCATGAAAGGGAAGGAAAGAGAGGAGCAGAGTGGGAGACAGAAAGAGAGGGGGACAGACAGAGGGAAAGAGAGAAAGAAGGGGAGGGGAAAGACAGAAGCGTGTTAAGCTTGTCTGGTAGTTAACTAGTCTTGAATGAAGAATGTTAGCAAACAGACAAACAGCATGTCTGATGCATGCTAATGGTCCTAGCTTCACCACTGCCACTATGAATAATTCAGCAGTCCAAAAAAAAAACAAAAAACCCTTCAAGGAAAAAAAAGAGCCCCCCCCCCCTTTACCCTTTTGAAATGCCTGCAGAGAATTAAAAAAAAAAAAAAAAAGAAAGAAAGAAAGTATCCCTGAACTTTCTCCTTTCAGCTACCAGCTAAGGATAAAATGAAACAGAAAGATTGGTTAGCTGATAACATTTTTCCAAAGTCTCTTAGAGATTTTCAATTCCTATTTTTGCTGGCTATTAATTTCCAATCCCCCCACCCACTTTTTTTTTTGCTGCCTATTCTACTTCTTTTGTCTTGGAGCTGGCACCTGTCCCAGAGACAGCATTTGACTGCACCCCCCCCTTTCCCTCCTACATACAGAAAGAAGGGGGAGGAATCCCTAAAGGATAAAACCACCACTACCACCCCCCCACCTTCACCGTATTTCCATTTCAGCCATGGTCAGATTACAAGGGGGTTGGAGGGCCATCATCCACCCTTTTTTCGTGTGGCGCAGAGACCTAAAGCAATTCAAAAAATATGTGGAAAGAAGTTGGTTCCATGAGCAGCACAGTGCATTGGTAATGGAGGGAAAAAAAATCACAAATAAAACCCTTCACTCTCATAGCATTCAAACGAGAAAAGCCTGATTCATGGCTCAGTCACAGAAATCAATTTCTTTGACCGAGGAAGGGAAAAATTTTTTAAAAAGAAGAATCAGCAGGGGAAAATACTTCGAGGTTTAACCAGGTACGGTACAGCCAGGCAAAGCATAGAAAAGAAGAAAAATTAGTCCAGCTTTTAAAAATTAAACGAGGAGGGTTAAATAAGTCAGGAAAAATCAAAAGAAGATCCTATTTGTAGCATTTTAAAAAGTTCTGCTCTGGCAAAGGCCGTCTGAAGGGGAGGCCCTTGTAGCAGGAATGCAAGCAGCAGCAGCAGCCTTTTTTCAGAATCCAATCTCCCCCTCGCGAACGACCAGAGCAATCTGGGCAAGGAGGAGGAGGAGGAGTGTGTGAGCTGGAGAAACGGAGCCGGCTAGAGCTGATGATGAAACAGAGGCACGGCCCTGCGTGAGCAGCCTACTTTTCATCATACGCGCGCGCGCGCACACACACACACGCACTGCAAGCACCCCCCCACACTGCATGCACCCAACAATGACTGTAGCACCTCCCCACAGCTTCTGCATTTGCCCCCACATGCGGAGAAGCTATTTTTCTCTCTCAGACGCACACACTCTGCGTGCACGCAACACACACACCAACACACACACTGCATGCACCCGACTACAGCACCCCCCCGCACATGCAGAGAAGCTATTTTGCTTTTACATACACTTCATACGTGAACCCAACAATGAATACAGCACCTCCCACACAGTAACACAGCTTCTGCATTGGCCCCCAAATCCACACATGCATACTGCATGCATGCATCCAGCAATGAATAGACACACACTGCATGCACCCAAAAATGAATACACACACACTGCATGCACGCACCCAATTAATACAGCACCTCCCCCCCCAACACTAACACAACTGCATTACCCCCAAATCCAGAGCAGCTATTTTTCTTTCACACAAAGCAGTCTTGTGTTTAGATGTGTGTATACGCGTGTGGAGAGGAAGGAAGAAAGGATGGTGGGAGAGACACGGCAGTAGGCTCTTATGCATGCTACAATATGACGATATGCTTAAAAATGCAGTTCAGCCAACGGAGCTTTGCATGATGTCTCTTTTTCTTCCTTCTGAGGACCTTTTTGTGCAGATTTTTAAAAGACAACAACAAAGCAAAACCCAAAGCAGAAACACCAGAGACAAGATTCCCTTTCCACTCCCCCCCAAATCAAATGCATGTAGTAAACAGCATTCAAATGCAGCACAGAGAAACTAGTGCAGCAAATAGGGATTTGTAGCAGTAAATGCTATATGTGACAAAACTTAGTGATTTTGTTTTCTCATGCCCTTACTTCTAGACCAGCTGCACAGCCAAGCTGAGGCTGCTTGGCCCTTATAACTATCTTGGCACTGAGTCAAAAGCTGATAAGCATTTGGGCGAGACAGCTCAACTGCTGTGCTGGAAGAAAAACAGCTGCCATGATTGCTGTTTGATTGAGAGCGCTTACACACACACACACACACACACACACACACACACACACACCCCCCCCCCCGGACTGCAAAGACAGGCCACAAATGCCTGAGGATTCAGATTTAGAGGATCCACATACGTTTCCTTTAAAAAAAAAAAGTTTTCTAAGGTTTTCCTTCCTTATTGTTTTATTATTTTTGAAGAAAACATGCTACGTAGACTTGCTTTTCTTCTTCCCATCCCCCCTCCATAACCTCAAGCAAACTCAAGGAATCGTGCCAAAAGTCCCGTTGCTAGTTACCAAGTGCATTTTTTAAACGTCCCTTTGATACTTCTTTCCCTCAAGCTCACTGTGGAATACGCAAGTAAGATAATCTTTCTATTACTCCAAGAAACAGATTCAAACAAACAAACAGCAACAAAAAAAGAACTTT